TCCTCCCGTCATTCAGGGGTGTGTGTTGTGTAGATACGTCTGACAATAGTAGGTGAGGCTTGTAGTCAGTCTGCAGAGCCGCGGTGCGGACAGCTCGGTGCGGTGAACATGCACCGGGCGGCGGCAGTATGACTGTAGGAGGGCAGCAGGTGAGGAGAAGGAAGATGCAGCCCACCTCGGAGAGCAGTGCTGTCAGTGTGTCCGGGGCGGCCATCCCTTCCCTGTGCCGGAGCCGCAGTGTCCGGGAGCAACAAGCTCAGCTGAAGCACAAGCTGAGGGAACTGCCGTCCTTGCTGAGGAGCGGCCTGACCCTGCGGAGAAGAAGCTCCGTCTATGGAGCGTCCCCAGCCCTGGCAGAGACGGACGACACTGCGGCGGCCACCAACGGCCCGGTGAGTGCTCAGGACCATGTGCCTGCATCCCATTCATCTCTCCTGGGAGCAGTATGTCAGTGTCTACTGGGAGCAGTATATCAGTGTCTACTGGGAGCAGTGTGTCAGTGTATACCGGGGGCAGTGTATGCTGGGAGCAGTGTGTCAGTGTATGCAGGGAGCAGTGTGTCAGTGTATACTGGGGGCAGTGTGTACTGGGAGCAGTGTGTCAGTGTATGCAGGGAGCAGTATGTCAGTGTCTACTGGGAGCAGTGTGTACTGGAAGCAGTATGTCAGTGTCTACTGGGAGCAGTGTGTCAGTGTATGCAGTGTGTCAGTGTATGCAGTGTGTCAGTGTATGCTGGGAGCAGTGTGTCAGCGTATGCTGTGTGTCAGTGTATGCTGGGAGCAGTGTGTCAGTGTATGCTGGGAGCAGTGTGTCAGTGTATGCTGGGAGCAGTGTGTCAGTGTATGCTGGGAGCAGTGTGTCAGTGTATGCAGGGAGCAGTGTGTACTGGGAGCAGTGTGTCAGTGTATGCAGGGAGCAGTATGTCAGTGTCTACTGGGAGCAGTGTGTACTGGAAGCAGTATGTCAGTGTCTACTGGGAGCAGTGTGTCAGTGTATGCAGTGTGTCAGTGTATGCAGTGTGTCAGTGTATGCTGGGAGCAGTGTGTCAGCGTATGCTGTGTGTCAGTGTATGCTGGGAGCAGTGTGTCAGTGTATGCTGGGAGCAGTATGTCAGTGTATGCTGGTAGCAGTGTGTCAGTGTATGCTGGGAGCAGTGTGTCAGTGTATGCTGGGAGCAGTATGTCAGTGTATGCTGGGAGCAGTGTGTCAGTGTATGCTGGGAGCAGTATGTCAGTGTATGCTGGGCGCAGTCTGTCAGTGTATGCTGGGAGCAGTGTGTCAGTGTATGCTGGGAGCAGTGTGTCAGTGTATGCTGGGAGCAGTGTGTCTGCGTATGCTGTGTGTCAGTGTATGCTGGGAGCAGTGTGTCTGCGTATGCTGGGAGCAGTGTGTCAGTGTATGCTGGGAGCAGTGTGTCAGTGTATGCTGGGAGCTGTGTGTCAGTGTATGCTGGGAGCAGTATGTCAGTGTATGCTGGGAGCAGTATGTCAGTGTATGCTGGGAGCAGTATGTCAGTGTATGCTGGTAGCAGTGTGTCAGTGTATGCTGGGAGCAGTGTGTCAGTGTATGCTGGGAGCAGTGTGTCAGTGTATGCTGGTAGCAGTGTGTCAGTGTATGCTGGGAGCAGTGTGTCAGTGTATGCTGTTCAGTGAACGTATGAGTAATATTCTATTTACAGTGTGAGCAATGTGCGGCTGCATCCGGTAATATTCCTCCCAGAGCGCTGTGCCACTTCATTCTCTTCATTTCACTTCTGACCAATATATCAGTGTGTATTATTTGCATTGTGCCAGTATATCCTGTTCATTTACCTGTGTACAGTGCGTTATCATACCCTGTGTACAGTGCGTTATCATACCCTGTGTACAGTGCGTTATCATACCCCGTGCACAGTGCGTTATCATACCCTGTGTACAGTGCGTTATCATACCCCGTGCACAGTGCGTTATCATACCCCGTGTACAGTGCGTTATCATACTCTGTGTACAGTGCGTTATCATACTCTGTGTACATTGCGTTATCATACCCTGTGTACAGTGCATTATCTTACCCTGTGTACAGTGCGTTATTGTACCCCGTGCACAGTGCATTATCATAGGCACAACCATCTAGTGCCCCCCATTCATTTATACTGTATGTATGGTCGGGAAGAAGCAGCATGCCAGCTCCACCCATGTATTTACATTATAAACAACACAGCGCTCCCATTGTAATCACTCTGTAGCTAGAAGCAGCAACACCCCCCCTCCCCCCCATGACTTTACTCTAGTAGCAGAATGCCAGTGGGCAGTGATCGTCCGAGCAAACAACTGGCAGGCAGACATCGCTGCACCTCACAAGGAACCTATAGGGAGAAGAGACACAGTCTGCCTCTTTGGAAATGCTTATTACCTGGCTGTCATGGGGATGTGTAGGCTTTACTATCTCGGGGTCACTGATGCAGAATGTGTATGCAGATCCGGAGTCCTGACTTTAGTAGTTCCATGTTGTTCCATGCCAGTCTCCGATCATATTGAAAGATGAAATAGTCAGAAGGAGGTCAGCAATGGCATCCTCCATATTTCTTTTACTATCATGTCAGACCATGCCATCCAATTCTACAGTCAGTATAGCTGTGTACTCAGGGGTGTCCGCCAGAGACTGAGGGTGCGTGCACGTTATGGGGGCACACACAAAGCTCACTCACGTCGCTGGTTACCAGGAGTTGGGCAGGACACCAGCCAGAGCATCCTGCTCACCCCCTGACAACCAATGACATCAGTGAGCTTAGCAGAATGCCCCCCTCCCCAGAGTGTCACAGAACCCTTTTTAACCTATGCCACTCTGGCAGGTATAGGGAAGGCAGGAAGG